GGCAGCCGCACCGCGGGCAGCTGCGGCTCCCCAGCAACTTTTTTATCCTCTCGCTACTTTGGTGGTGGTGATTTTGAGTGAGAAACTGCTCTGCCTGTCCAACCCCTTCTCCCACCCCTGAAGTCTCGGGGGTGGGGATCAGGCGAGCGAGAAAGAGAGAAGCAGGCGCATAGTAATAATCCTCATCTGCTCTTTTGGCAGAAAGTCCTGGAGCAAAAGGAGGATTTGAAGTCGGTCCCCGCTGCCTTTGCGGAACAACAGCCGCTCTCCGCTCGCTCAGGTTAGGACATGCTATTTCACGCTCGCTTTCGCGCGGGGCAAAGGGGAGTGGGTGCCCGCTGGAGAAAAGGTAAAAGGAAGAGTTTCAAGGCGGTCATGTGCGACAGCAAAGGCGCAAACGTACAAAGGAAGTGATCAGGAAATTCTCAATGGAGGCTGCTGGCCGCTTCCCCCGTTCCGTTTATGCGCTGGGATTTTGGGAACTCGGCAGCTTGGTGTAGCAAGAGAAAATTGCTGGTAATTCTAATGGGGAAAAATAGGTTTCTGTACCTTTTCTGGAGATGTTTTGGGAGGAGGGTGGAGAGGCGGATCAGGGCTTTCTGTAATAAGGGTATATAATTTTTAGTATAAATTCTGAAAGATGCTTTTGGGGGGGAAAAAAACCAAAAGCCTGCCCATGAGAAAGCACGTGGGTTTTTTATATGGCATTTATCAAAAGATGAAATAAAATGTTTTCCTACGTAAGTTATTCAGAAGTTAGAGTAGTTGAAATTTGGTGGCATGCTGCTGGAAGGAATTTTTAAAAACAAAGTAAGCAAAAAGCTTTCCCAACTTATCTTTTGTCTTATGTAGATATTTCCACTTAAAACAATTCCTTGTATGTAATGCTGAAGACTGTGCTTTTTTTGTAGAAGGCGGGGAGGAGTGTAACTCAAGAAGGCTTTTTAAGTACTTTACCAAAGTTCTTTATGGTGTTATATATGTAAAAAGTAAAAAAAAAAAAAACAAAAAAAAAACAAAAAAACCCAAACTTCTTTAATTTGCTCTCATTTAACCTGAAGTTACACTTCTAACCTTAAGATCTGAGCTCTCTGAGCACTCAACAAATAAATGACACAAAATACTTTTCAGACGCAGGGGAATAGGTGAGAAAGAAGGAGAAAAAGTTTTTTTTTTTTTTCTTTCTTGTTTCCTACCACTCAGAACAGATTGGCTTCCCCTAGACTTGATCCCACAGTCTATATACAAACTGAATGGGACTTTTATTCACCTGTCTGTCCATCTGTCTATGTAGATGTTGGAGACTTTATTGTTTCTACCTCTACAGAGGGAAGTTGGCAATAGGATAGAGCATAGAGCGAGGGAGAGGAACACAAGGGGCAAAACAGAGACTGACGGTATAACAAGGGTTAGGGCCTGGTTAAAGCTTCTCTATAATCAGCAGTAAAGTTAAGACTTTTGGTCGTGATAGTTTTGTCTCATGACAGAGAAGAGCCCAGGGTGTGCTGTAATGAATACAGAGGGGTTTGTTTAGGAAAGTTGTTGGATGCTGAGGGAAGTTTAGTTCACAGGCGAGCTTAAAGGCAGCCAGCCAGGGGGTGCAGAGTGACCTTACCGGTTTTTCCAAAATCCTGGTCTGGACTTTTCAATCAAATTCAAGTGTGTGACAAGTCTGTTATCTCTGAACAGGAGTATCTGCTCATTGGTCATAGCTTCTCAGAGGTGATTTCTGGAGAAATCAGCGTGCATGAGAATTCCTGTTGATGATAGGAATTTCCCAAGTGTCTCTACTTCCTGCTGTATCTTTTGGATTTTGAATTAATTTTACTGTCAGCTTTAAAGTATTTTAAGTTATTACTGTGGTAAATGTTTAAATGTTCATATATCATGGGAATTCTGTGGAAAAACTGCATGAGTACAGTACTGCCAAGCTCTGAAAAGAAGGGCCCCATGGCACAAAATCTTGCTTGTATTTAAAATAAAATCACAGTTGTTGTTGTTCTTTCACTCAGATGTTTGTTTTACAGAACTTGAATACAGTAGGTAAACTTTTGAGAAGGCTGTTGAAAAGTATAGAGTCTCCAGTAGTTCCTGCCTGAGAGTATCACTGTTTGGAATGACGTTATAGTCATCCTCACAGCTTTCCTTCCTTAGTAACATGTATTTTTTTTCTGATTATATTTTTGAGCTCTTTGTTTGATCACAACAGAGTTCAAGGGATGGGTCAACAAATACTTTAGGTTGGTACTGCTGAAGAAAGAAGCTATCCATGCAGCCTCCAGTTGTGCATTTCTCTACTGAAAACTTGTTGTTGGCATGGGTATAGCCCAGGGAGCCCCCAGGCCACATAGGGTTATTTTTCATCTGGATCGGCTATCTTTTAGCAAGTAATTTTTAAGCCAGATTTGTTCTTCAGTCTGGTTAACTATATGGTTGTATAAATGCTGGTGTGTGTGGATGTTGAGGCACAATGATTAGAGTTGAGTGGTGGGGAAGATTTGGGCTGCTTCCCTTAGAAGTATTGCCATCTTATGCCGGATCTTTGGGACCAGTGTTCCTTGGACTAGGCCTGTAGTCAATTCTCTGGTAATCACGTGATTTTCTGTCTTACCTGGCCACTAGACTGTATCTTAGGAAAGCAACAATTCAGTGTTACTTTTTTGTAAAGATCTATCATACCATCCTTATAGCTCGGATTTGTTCTTTGTTCATTCTTTTTTTCTAAATAGCATGCAATGGATCTTCTATTAGTTATCATAGGTAGCCTTTCCATAGCCCAGTGTCATCAGGAAAGTTTATCTGACATTAAGACTAATTTTTCATATTCTACTGCAACAGTTTTTGCCTTGGCACACTTCTGTGAACTGATTGATTGTCTCTCTTTTTTTGGCATTTACACCTTCTAAGCTGTTACAAACTATTAAACAGACTAAGTTTTTAATATTTGTCAACCTCTACCATTCCAGGCCTAATGATTGTTGTGATACTCTTCTCTGAGCTTTCTTCAGTTTGTCCGTTGTCTTTTTGCAGAATGAGATGTGATATTCCACATGTTGGAGGTGATTCATATCTCTTTGTTGTGTGAAGTGGTATCTGAGCACAGGCAAACAAAAGTTACCTTAGTCACTTTGTAGAAGTATAAGTATTTGCTTTGCAAACTGCTCTCTCATTTGTTCAGCATTCTCACTCTTGCATGTTTTGAGCTCCTGCTTTGGATAGGGATTTTTCTTCATTTGATTTATCTCTGTTTTTCTGTTGGTGTTTTTTCAGTTTCTTGGCCTTACTTTTTCCAGAGAGTCTTATTTTGGGATATTTTTCCTCCTTGTTTTCTGAGCTCTCTGAATCCCTTTGAATTGTCTCTATGCACTGGTGTTTGTAAACTTAGTGAAAGTTGCAGATGATATAGAACGAACGCGCCTGTTTCCAGTCTTTTAGATCATTAATTAATAAAAGTGGCCTAGCACAGATCCCTGCAACAAACTAGTAGGTATCCCTGTGACTGTTGGTTACATGAGTATATATCGTTATTCTTAGTTTTGAAGCCATTATATCATATAAGCAATACTATCCAAGCAATTTAAATTAATTTTTCAGCTATGATTTCCGTAGAGAGTAGCAAATGCAATTCTAAATGTAAACCTGTTACATCATCCACTGTATTGTTTTCATTTTCTAACTTCATAATAATTCTATCCTCCTTTGAAAAGCAATCAAGTTTATCAGGATTTACAGTAGCATTTATAAACCCATGCTACTTATTGTTCCTGAAACACTCCCGCTTCTGCATTATGCACCATGTTAAATAAATACCTAACATGTTATTTTCTACAGCCATGATCTGGGAAAGAGGAAAAGGTTGGTTGGTTGGTTTTTTTTTTGGTTGTTTTTTTTTTTTTGCTTTTTGTTTTGTTTTGTTCCTGCCCTTTGGGTCTTCCTTTTTCTGGAGATGATGCAGTCAGTCCCCTTTGTTTTTAACACCATATGAATTAGACATTTTCCTGATAGGGAGGGGCAGGTTTTCCAGTTCCTGGTGCCACTGGCTGAGTCACTGGCTCTGTTTTTCTGTTCCGTTGTAGTTTTATAGTTACCTTGTTCATATCTTAGAATATGATTGCCAATAGCTAGATGTTTTACTTTGCTGTGCTTCTGAGCCGTGAGCGCAAGTGGCTTTCAGAGCCCGGATACAAGCCTTTGAAACTTCTGCTTTGCTATTGCCAAAGAGAAAATAAAATAGCATGGTCCTCAGAGTGCTTCCTTTCAAATAGCGTGCTAACCATTAATGACAGATGTCCACACAAAGTCGAATTTATTGTACGCAGAACTGCTGTGCTTATACTAAAGGAGGAAAAGTCAGGAGAGCATTGAGCATGTGTTGACTGAGATAGGAAAGTGCAAAAGAAAGGATGATGTGTAAGTCCATCTTGCCTGACCATACCTCTCCTGAACAGGTCCTTGAAATAAAGCTCACTGATATCAGACTAGTAGGATTTAGAGAGCTTCTCTTGGCTTGAAATCTTGTCAGCTTGGGGGTGGTGGTGAAGAGGTGTAAAATAGGTTTGCGGAAGAGGACCTTCTCCTTACTTACCACTCTTTACTTTGTCTTTCTAATTAAAACAACCCAAAGAAACTGTTTATTTCTCCTCCCCCATTCATGTGTGAAAGATTTTCACAAATAGAAGAAAATAACTGTGCAAGGGAAACAATGAAAATGGCTGTATTGTATCCATCTAGTAAGCTAACTGAAAATTAAAGAAGAAACATCTTTTTCCATTGTTTGGTTTTGGTCACAGCTGTTACTTGTAAGAACCTGTTCTAAAAAAATGGAGTCAAGTCTGTGTTTGCTGTGTCCCTTTAAGAATCTAGTTTTGCTTGGCTGGCTGCCCTTGTTCCCTTGTAGATTAATCCAGCAGAAGGTATATAACCTACTGACCTTCCTGGGGAGAAGGGGCTGGAAGGGCAAAGAGATAAATTAGAAGGTTTGTACTTTCCTGTGATATCTAGGGATAAGTTTAACTTGTGTTTTTCAATTTTTGCTTTTTCTTTTTCCTCTTTCTCTGCTTAGTGCTTCCAGTTTGAGGATTGGGATTGTAGTTACAGGTGCTCATGGTGTGTGAAATCCCTATATAGCAGTTTGGAAATAATATGAGAGTGTGTACTGCCACAGTTCAAAGGGAAGGGTTCTGACCTCAAAATTACACTAGTCTTGAGTTGAGGACAGCTCCACTGTCAACTGGTGGGAGAACTAGCTAAAATGTCTGGCATCTGCTTGTCTGCTAGAGA